GGCTCTAGAGCTTGAAATATTAACCACAGTTCTTGCTCCTCTCACACTGAAGTGGTCCCAGTCCCTGCAGAAAATTGGATTTGCTGTTTTACTGGAGATTTCACCAGTGTTTGGCCCCATAAGACACTGGGACATAAGAAAGGGAAAGAATTTGATGTGCTGTATCTCTTCTACAACATCATATAATCATAAACTGTTTATGTTCCTGTATTTTTCTCTTCTAGTACCTGTTTGAAAATGGTAGAATAGATAACATTTTCACCGAGCCCTATTCCAGGTTTATGATTGAACTTACAAAACTTTTGAAAATCTGGGAACCTACAATTCTTCCAAATGGTACGACAATTCTTTTGTTTTATGTAGCTGCATGACAAAACTGTGTCATTAATTAATGTTTTCTCAGGGCCAGGAAGAGAATGTGATCTGAGGCTTTCACGTTAGTCTCCCCTCTCTACACCATGGATTTTATGCCTGTTTCTGCCAGTTATGATTACACTTAAATATATATTTGCCTCTGATCAATCCTTGGAAAGAAAGGATTCCCATTCTGGCACACAACAAATTAGTTTTTCTCTTCCCTCAAATTTAAGCTCTTTTTTTTAATACAGGTAGCCAGAATTTAATACTGTATTTGAGATCAGGTACTGCAAAGTCTTTGTACAGTTGCACTGATATTTCCCTATTAGTCCTGGAAATACTCCTGGTGAGGTTGGAGTTCACATTAGCAAATCATTGGAATCTTGTCTCAGTTCCCAAATTAAGACTTCCCAAATTCTGCGGATACTTTAAATTGGTTTTCAATCCTGATTATGTGATTTATAGAGCTGGACACCAGCCCTATGAGCACATAAGGCTGGTGACATCTTTAGAGTATCAGTGAAATCTGAATAATGTTGGCAACTCCACAACTGCCTTTTCATTTAGAAAAATGAACTTTTTATTTAATACAGAAATTATCCAATTACCTATAGTTTGCTGCATGCAGTGATATTTTTTTTACAACATATTTCTTCTAAGCCTCTGTATCTCCCTTTCCTAACTGATTTAGGATAATTACAATGGGCTATTTATACACAAAATGGGACATTTTAAACTCCTACCTCATGTTGTAGGAATTACACATTGTTGCAGTTGGCTGACTGTGGTTTAATACAGTGAAATTAGAACTTAGTGAGTGTCTGCTAGTGTCTGCAGTTCCTTTTTATCCTTCTCTTCAGGTATTGGAAGATCATGCTGTTCGACAGCTTGGTTCTCCATTCTCCCTCTTATGTCTGTGCATGCAGTGGTCTGGTATTATTGGATTACAATTGCTGATGATAGGTGTGAATTTGATTTAGTATGTGGTTCATTAATAGAGGTTAGCTGAAAGAGGATTTATATGCATAAATAACTATTTTCTTTTTTTTCTTTGCCTATTCTTTGTAGGTTATATGTTCTCAAGAATTGAAGAGGAACACTTGTGGGAATGTAAGCAGCTGGGTGCATATTCCCCCATCGTTTTGTTGAACACCCTTCTGTTCTTCAACACCAAATACTTCCAACTAAAGAATGTCAGTGAGCACATGAAACTGTCCTTTGCCCATGTCATGAGGCGCACCCGAACTCTGAAGTATAATACTAAGATGACATATTTACGTTTTTTCCCACCCTTTCAAAAACAAGAGGTAGAATCAGGTGAGTGCTCACTGATCACTGGTGTCTGGGCAGTCACATTTGTGTGCTCTGAATTACAGAATCAGAGAATTCTGTGATTTTGTACTGTCTGCTTCTCTTTTAAAAAGGACTGGGGAGAAATATGTTCTGCTGTAAGCAGAGCTAAGCGTACGCTGTTACCCTGAATACATTTGTGCTATTTTTCACTGTTTTAAAAGAAATTCTGAATGAGCCAAGGCACCCGGGAAAAACTTACAAAGGAGGTGTCACAGATTTGGACACAAATTTGTTTAATAGTCTTTCATGGCATCCTCAGCTTGCATAAAGCTGATTAATACTGCAAGAGTTAAAGGCCTTTTCCGAAGTCCTTTTCTCAGCACTTAATAATCTTGGGTTTTGCAAGTTCAGACCTTTATTGTGCCTTCTTAATTCCCATATTTGTCCTGGGTCTGTGTGGGGAGCAGACCAGGCAGCCCCAGTGGAGAACAACAATACGGGGCTTGCACTCAGAGGCAGAGACGGTGAGATTTTTTTTCTGTTAATTTTGGCATTTGGGAAAGGAAAGGCTTTGATCCTTTGGGCTTCCTCAGTTCATAGCTCCAGTGCATTACATGAATTCATCTTTAATAAGTAAAATTATATCTTCCATATTTTCCTGCTAGTTCTTGTGGGTTTTCTAGATGAGGAATGGGCTGTGGATCTGGCCTGTAGGATGTGCAGTCCTTTGCCCACCCAGCAGATCACACCAGGTGGCAGATGCAGTTCAAAGAATGGGTTTGGGTGATGCAGAGTCACCACTGGGTGCTGGGCTGAGATACCAGGGCTTGTTTCTGAAAGTGCTGCTTTTCACTGAACTTTAGTGATGCCATTTTTGTGTATCCAGATAAATTATCAGTAGGCAAAAGGAAACGGAGTGAAGATGAGGAGGTTCCAACAGCAGTGGAAATGGCTGAAAACACAGATAATCCCCTCCGGTGTCCAGTCCGACTTTATGAATTTTACTTATCAAAATGGTAAGTGACAGAACTTGAGTTTGGGTCTGTGTGTAGACTAGAACAGGCATTTGGGCAAGGAGCCACTCAGACCTCCTGTGCCTGTGCTGTGCTTCTTCTCCCCAGCTCCCAATCCCTCAGTGGGAGCAGAACAGGAATTCCAACTGTAGCACTGCTACTGAGACCCCCAAACAGGTTTTGATGGGTTTTTTTGGTACTGGTGTTGAGTCAAGAACAAAGTTAGAGAGAGAAATGTATTCTTTAAATGAATTCTTTGATATAAATGTGTGACATTACTACAGTGCCCATGGCAGTCTCATCTCACTTATTTCCCATACACCATCCTTGTTGTGAGGAGATTATAACTAATACCTGAGAAATATCATGTTTCTTGTGAAAGAGTGTAGCAGAAGTGTGAATTAGGTAAAACTCCTGATAAAATTTGCCTGCTGAGATGTGAGATTAACTCGTGTTTAGGAGTTAGAAAGGAGACTACAGCAAGGACAGAGATATAAATAATTTTTCTCTCCCGTTTCTATATAAACTTCAGTTAGATCCTTGAGCAAGTGGAAGATGATGTTCTTCTCTGTTCAAAGAAAATACACATGCAAAATGAAACAGCATCTCATTAGTGTCAGCTGAAACTCAGATAAATCATTCTCAGAAATGTACCTACTGAGCTTACTACAAATATTCCATTACTGAGGCAGAAGCATGTGTGCAGCTGTCCAGACTCTTTCTCTCCCTCTTCTTACCTTTCTTGTCTTCACTGGCACATTACTAGAAGCTTTTAGTTGTTCTTGGACTGGGAAAGCATTTTCATGCTCCCTATCATACTTCATAGCTGAGCCTCTGCTATATGCAGGCAGCAGTACAAATTCCCTTTGCTGTTTTGGTGTGATTATCCCAAAGCCAGGCAGGAGGGATCCTGGCTCTAGAGACTTTAGAACCCTACCAGAGCCTGGAAACTGCCTTGGAGTCACTCAGGCTTTCAAGCAGATGGGCTTAGCATTGCAGCATGGTCAGGCAAGCTGGGATTTAGTTTTACTCTTAAACCACATTTTGGAATCATTTATGCAAAAATTCCCTCTAAGCTCATCAAATTCAGCTGTTCCCCCAGCACTGCCAAGGGCACTACAACCCATGTCCCCAAGTGCCAACATCCACATAACTGTTAAATCCCTCCAGGGACAGGGACTCCACCAGTGCCCTGGGCAGCTGTGCCAGGGCTGGACATCCCTTTCAATGAAGAAATTTTCATTAATATCCAGTCTAAGCCTTGAGGCCATTTCCACTTGTCCACATTATTCAGCAGTTCTGGAATCCCACAACCATTTTCACTCAGAGATTGCATGTCAAATGCAGTTATCACTCTACTATTAATTGGATGACACTGAAGATCCACTGCTGTAAAGAATTTACTTCGATTTTCTTTATTTCTTTATAAGTAACTAATGCTGAGTGACCTGGAAACAACTTAAGCATTCCCTATGAGGAAGGGGGAAGACAGTGTTGCCATCTCAGTGAAACCTGGATTTTTTTGCTGACTCTCTCTTAAACTCTTGGTAAGATTGTAAATGCAGCCTGATATTCCTAAACCTTATTTCCTTTCCGTTGCCAGTTCTGAAAGCGTGAAGCAGAGGAGTGATGTGTTCTACCTGCAGCCCGAGCGCTCCTGTGTTCCCAACAGCCCCATGTGGTATTCCACATTGCCAATAGACCCAGGAACCTTGGACATCATGTTAACACGGATTCTTATGGTGAGGGAGGTACACGAGGAACTTGCCAAAGTCAAATCAGAGGACTCTGATATTGAGTTATCAGACTAACTGCAGTGGGGTATTTTTATTTGAATACACATCAGAAGCACCAAAATGTGAATACGTCCAGCCTTTGGAAAATGTGTATCAAATAAGCCAAGATGATGCCACCTACAGGCAGATTTTGTACCACACTGGATGTACAAACTGGAACTGGAAGGAAGCAAGCTGTGTAAGCTGCAACTCCCAACATCCTGTAGCACCGATCAATCCTCAGAACAAATCCAAGTGGAACTCACCTATTGGATTGGTGCATAAATCCTTTATCTGTTTAGGATTTTTAAAAGTTGTGAGATATTTTTAAGAAAAATGCTTGTGTAAAACCTACCCTCACACTGTTGGGCATGGAGAGCTAGATTGTGGCTCAGGTGACTTCCCAGCCTGCTGGCTGGCAGCCCTTGCTGCCAAGGAACACATGGAGATCCTCGAGCTCTTCCGGAGGATACAAGAGAAAGGGGTGAGGTTTAGACAAACAGACACCTTCCATTATAAATACACCTACACATACACTTCTGTAATTTTTTTTTTTTTTTAATTTTTTTTTTTTAACTGGGATCAAATGTTGGGAAGGCAGGAGCCACTGGCCATCCCAGTGGACAACTCTGGCTGCTGTTAACTGATCACACAAGGCCAGACACCTGCTCCAGGCTCACACCAACTCTCACTCTGTTGGAAGAGGTGCTGTAGGTCAAACTTCCGAGTGACCTTTTGGGGAATGTCCAGGAGGGGATGTCCTGTGCAGAATCCCTTGCCCAGCCCAGTAGCTCTGCAGCCTGTCCATATAACCCAGCAAATACTGTGGTGCGCAGAAAGGTTATTTCCTTTAAGGCAGCTTTCCTTTCTCCTCTTTCCCTACTCCTATGGTTTTGATTATTTTGTAAGGCAAATCTAGAGAGGACTTTGTCATTTCAAACAGAAATACACACACACACTCTTTCTCTTTCCACCTTTGCAATGCAGGCAGTGTTGTACAAAGGATGCAGTATTACTTCTGAGAACAGAACTGTGGTAGAAAATGACCATGTGTGTTTTTATCCCACCCCACCCAAAGAGATTTAGTCATAGTGTTGGAAATTGAAAGAGTTTTTTTTTTTAAAGACTTGGCTGTTACTGAGTCTTTTGGAAGAGAAAAGCTCCCATGTGATGTTTAGAGGACAGGACATTATCAGAGACTGTATGTCTGTTTTCTCAAGCTCTAGGTGTGTGTTTCTGATGACCAGTGGTCACAAATTCATTGGAAACTCAAACTATTTTTAAAGAGGAGAATTGTATGGTTTTTATCGAGCTCTGGTCAGTTATCCATCTTCTGTAACAGGGGTCTGATATTTGAGCTTGTCACTGAAATTTCAAGAGATGAAAATCAACGGCCTTGAATAATATTTCAGATTTTTTGTTTTGTTTTGTTTGTTTGGTTGGTTTTTTTTAAATATTTTTTTAGCAGTTACAAAAGTAATTTAACAAAAATAAAATCAGAAAGTAGTCTATTGACGTTGTGTACTTGGTAGTCCTGTCCCTGCCTGTAACAGATTTCACTGATGTATTTTTTAATACAGAAAATTCTGTGAAAAGTAAAACCTGCCCCTGATTCTGTCTGACCAAAGCCCATCTGTGTCTGTTATTTCTGAGCAAAGGTTCTGCTTTCTCCATGGCCTTGCATTTCCAGGGAAGATGTTTTGGCCACTCCTCAGCACAGGCATTCTCCTGCTGGCTCAGTTCTTACTCCATGAACACCAACCTGCCCCTCCCCATTGTTACATTAAATACCAAAATTGGAGGCAGAGTGGTTTGCATTGGGAAAGTTCAGAGAAAACAAAGTCATTCTGGAAAGATCAGTTTGCAGGGGATTAAGAATGTCTGAGGGGTGTCTGCTGCACACAGGTGCGCCCAGAGCCTCGGTGGCTGTAACACAGGGGAGACTCCAGGGATTCCTTCGTCTCTTGGGCAGCTGCTGGGGGTGCAGCATGCTGTCCTTGCCTGCTCCTCCTTCCCTAACCCCCCTGGGAATGAGCATGGCAGCAGTGAGGACAGGCTGTGGGGAGGGCAGACTTTCCTTGGGTGGGGATGGTGTGAAAAATAATCCCAAAACTGAGTGTTCCTTAACAAACGTTAACAGAAATATTCCCATAGAATAACATAGGATATTTGTACCTTATGAGAAACACTTTTCTTTCTTTGAACATTCTCACTGTCTCTTGTCTGGGAGCATTTTCTTTGAGGTCAATGTTTTGTAGACACTTAGAATGAAAGGTACTTGCCCTTCAGATTCTCTCAGCAAGGCAAGTGATATCACTTTCACTGGCTGAGAGCAGACATGTTAAACATGGTGTGAATTCCCTTGACATGGTGGTTGTGACATAAGAAACATTTCATTGCAATTCCATAGTAATAATTAACACAGTAAGTAGTTGTAGTTTCAATTTCCTCCTGCTTGGAGGCCCTTTGGCAATGGTCTGCTTTTCCCAGGGTTTGCCTGGGCTGTATTTTCCTCTTGAGGGATTTCTTGTCAGCCCAGCTCAAGTTAACACTGATACACAAGAAGGATTACCTTAAAGGATTAAAGTATATTTGTAGTTTATACACACAGGCTCCAAGTTCTGAACACAAACTTGTTTGTGATCAACATTTCTGATTGCTAAGCACACAAGATTTATTGACATATTCTTTCTAAACAGAAAAAATCATGCTGTGTCCTGCTGAATCCCAGAGTTAACTGGGCTGGAAAAGACCTTTGAGATCGAGTCCACCCTGAGGCCCTGACACCAGCTTGTCAACCAGACCATGGCACTGAGTGCCACATCCAATCTTTTCTTAAACTGTAGTTTCTGTGTGGACAGAGAAGCAATAAAGATGGGTGTGAGAAAAACAGAAAACTTCCTGCCACCAGAGTGGCAGCAGCTCCCAGTGCAGGGGGTGCTCAGCGCAAACCTGCTGCTCCATCCTGGCTTCAGTTCACTAAAGAAGGGAACTTGGGGCATGTTGAAAGCCACAAAACTAGGTGCAAAAGGAAGTTATATTACCTTGGGAATTACTCTGTCAACTACTGCTAAAAAAGCCACCCCAGGATTTCTCTGGAATAGTTTCCAGCTCCTCGGAGACTTAAAACAGCAGTAAAGTCCTCATCACATGTCCATAGATGTGCTGCTGGTTCAGTGCCAGGGCCCACAGAGGTGACTCAGAGGAATGTGCAATAAAGGCTTTTCTTTTTTTTTGTAACAATTTCAGTAACATCCCAGTCCCCTAAGCAGCAGTTTCACTGTTGCCTTAACAACCAAAGAACCCAGAACAAATGCTTGTGCACTGAATGCTTACTGTGCTTGTAACCGTCTGGCATGGCTGGAGTTTTGCTCCCCTCAGCACTACAGGTTCCTCCCCATTCTTCCTTGACCTGTCATCCATTTTAAACATTCCAGAGGCAAAACAAAGACTTGCTATCTTCATTAAAGAGCTGCTTCCTAGCAGTACTTCCCCTTGTTGCATCATCAGCCTTGTAAGATGATATGTAAGAAATGTTTTGAGCCGTTGAGCTCCTGAGCATTAACTGTTGTTTTGTTGTTTTTACCTGTATATGAGCACCAAAAGTATGTAAAAATCATGGACCATTGCTGAGGAGAAAGGCTAGAAGGTGTTTTGGGAGCACTGAAATAGGTGTGTTATGCCTCTGAGAGCTGCAGGTCTTGTCTCACATTGACAGAACTTCATAACTCAACAGGTGATGTGACAGAGGAGTCCCCACAGGATCCCCTCCTTTGCCTTACAGGGAAATCCCTTTGGTCAAGCACCACAGCCACAGGGCTGGACAGGTAGGACTGACACTGCTTTTGCTTTTGCATCTTCCCCAGGAGGAAACAACTGGCTTGGAAACAGTAGGGAGGTCAGATGGTTTTGCATAATATTACTGTACTTGTTATGAAGTTGATCCCAGCCCTTTTTTAAGTGGACTTTTTTAAACTAAGGGAGAAATCCCTCATTTAGTCTGACCACTGACACCAACTTCTTCCAGCAGCAGAGCTATAAGAACTTGCCTTTTTATCTCCAGTTTCCCCACCCGAGGAGCATTCCAGCAGTTTTCTGTTGTGTTGTGCTTTCAGAGGGAACTGTTTTGGACAGGCCAGGAAGAGCAAGTGACAGAAGAGCTGTTGCAAGGTGCTGGGAAGGTGCTTTGGGGAGGCAGGTAATTGATGGTACATGGCAAAACACTAATATAAAGTCCCTAAGATTCATGGTTTTATATTCAAAACATCTCATTGAGGAGGTCCTTGATGCTCAATCCACTGGCACCGGTGCTGGATCTGCTCCAGGAAGTGCTGCACAGATGCAGAAAGATTTTTAAAGTCATAAAGGCTCAAAGGAACTCGAGCAGCTCGGATTCCTATAGCCACAGAACTGAAATGTCCATTGGACATCACATTACCTAAACTGATGGATTTTCAGCAGAGATTCAGCTTTTCTTAAAGAAACAAGATCTGGAATACATGACTTTCACCTGCTGGGTGGGAGAAGGCAATTTATGACAATGAAACAATGAAGTTAGACAGAGCTTTGCACCCCAAATCTCAAAATCAATCCCAAGGACATGGTTTTAATCTTGGAAGATCCAAGTGGATGTGGGCAGCACAAGCCACACACCCAAGCTTTGTTGTCTTGATTCTTAGTCAGCCTTTGGATATGTCAACAGAGGGGCTTAGGCCTGTGAGTCCTGGGCTTTTTATCCTCTCTTCTGTATATTTATAGCACAAACAGACAGAGCAATTTGCAAAGGTCTTTTTGACCTGCTAGGAGCCAGGCTGCAGCTTTGGAGCTTTGGGTGATGTGAGGCACCTGAACTTTCTCCCAAGCTAAGCCACCGACTCATCCCCCAGCCCCAGCACACACTTCCCATCACTCCTGAGGATTGACACCTCATGTCTTGTCCCTTCCAGTCTGTACCTCTGTTGTACTGTCTGTAAATTGGCCAGACTTTCCTACCTCGTTTGGGCATTATGAGGCAGAATACCGTAGGATGCTTTGCAGCCCTGTGATGAATGGTGCTATATAACTGCAAAGTGTTACTTCAGAAGATGTAACTTGGTCACCAGTGCATCATAACCTATATTAAACAGACATTTTCTTATATGAGAATTTATAGAGTTCAATGTATGGTATTAATAAGTGAATTATTGAGACCCTCAAAATAGTTTTTGTTTCAATCGTATCTGTATTCTGGAAAAGTGATTAAAAACCTTTAACCTTAATAAAAGAGTGCATCCATCCTCCTTTCCTGTATGATGTTGGAATCTAAAAGCACTTTCCAAAACCAATACACAGTTTAAAAGTAGAATCTCACAGATCTCATATGGGGAGGGCTCAGTAGTTTTTAAGCCATGGTTAAAATTGCAGTTCATCACCTACACAGCAACACCTGGTGATTCCCACATGGTGCTCCCACTCACACTCGGTTTTGTTCCTCTGTTGCGGGCTGTAACTACACAGCTGCCCCAAACTGAGTGCAGGGGAACTGGGGACACCATCAAGCGAGTGGGTCAGTCCTGGGGACTGAAAATTCCCTGTGCTCTGTCCCCCTCTAATGCCACCATCACCCAAGAGCTTCAGCAACACAGAAACACCATCTCCGCTGCAGGAAAAGCGCCTTTATTGGCTTCAGGGGACTCATTGCTCAACAGAATCCAAAGCTTTTAAAAGGGGAGGTAAAGCCCTGAGGGGTCTGTGGGGGTTTCCCAGCACTTGCCATTGTGCATGGCAAGGCCTTGGGGTCAGGCACCTTCTTGGCTTCTCTTGGGTTTCTTGTCTGGAGTTGTCTCCTCCTCAGGTTTGTCATCCAAGTTACTTTTTCTTGGGTTTGTCACTTGGATTTTTATCGTTTTTTAGGTTTGTTACTTGGAGGGTTCTTCCACTTGGACAGCCAGGCACCGCTTGCTGCACCAACTGAGCTCAGGGCAGATGTCAGACCAACTTTGGCACCAAGAGAAAAACCTGCAGCTCCTGCAAAGACAGATTGAAGTTTGAAGTCCCAGGAGCATTGAGGCTGCCTGCTGAGGGACCAAGCACTGGGCACAGCCAGCCAGGGACTCCTGGGCAGGGACAACCCAGAGAGTTTGGACCAGTTCAGACCATAAGGAGTTAAAGGGCTGCTTTGGCTCTAGAGCAAGCCCAGGGTACAAGCCTGTGTTCCCTGGCATGGAGATGAAGCCCAGCCCCCCTGCCCTCCCCACTCACCGATGGACTGCAGCACAGCAACGGTGCTGCCGGCGGCCACTCCGCCACCATTGGCGATGGCAGCTGCTGACATCATCTTGGCAGCGATGGAGCCAGCGGCGATGCCGGCTCCTGTGAACCCCAGCGCACCGATGCACAGCGGGAGGCCAACAAGTGCCACTCCTGCAGGGAGGACAGAGCAGTGTTAGGGTGCTCTCTGTGACCCACATCTCCCCCTGCCACCAGCACCAGAACCAACCTCCCCAAAAGCACCCAGCAACCTGAGCAGGGAATGAGGGCTGGGAGTGCAGGGCTGGGAACACCCCATGGGCAGCAGGAGAGGAGCAGTGTGCAGGGCTGCAGCAGTGGGGGCAGGCAGAATTCCAGGCAGTGCCCAGTGCTGAGCCTCCTGCACCCTAGTTCTCCCCAGCCCAGTCCCCAGGACCACAGGGGGCTGGGATCGGGCAGTGAACCCAAGCGCTGCTCATTCAGTGCCAGACACTTACCTGCTCCCACTGTGGCTCCAATGGCAGCTCCAATGGCTTTCCCTTTGTTCCCTGAGAAAGAAAATGACAGGAGGGCAGGAAGGACAGGAATATGGACAGGAATATGGAAAAGCTCCCCTGAGCAGTGCTGAGCACCCTGAGCCAGGCAGAGCAGGATCCCAGAGCCAGCAGCAGTTCCTCCAGCCTCCCCCTGCCTTCATCTGCCTCCAGCCCCTAAAGACCCCTGGGAAGAAGCTTCTGGTGGGGTGGGTCCAAATGCCCCTCCAGGCTGGGAGGAAAAGGGAAAGGGGCACACCCTGGAGTGCCCACCCACCATTCCCTGCCTACGGCACCCACCAACCCGGAACAGCACAGGACACACAGCACATGTCAGCCCCAATCTGTCACCTGCCACCAACACAAGATGAATCAGAGTTCATAACGAAATCAACCACTGCCTTGCCAGCCCCTCGCTGCGCAGGGGAGAGGGAGCAGGGCTGGAAACCCTGCCCACTGGGATCCCTTTGTGGAGTACAGCAAATCCCAAGACACTTAGCAGGTACCCAGGCCCCAACTGCACATCCACTTTTGCTTTCAGGGTACCTATCACTCCAGCACATCCCCAGATCTTCAAAGGGTGGCCAAGCTGCTGGAGCTTCCCAATGCCTACCAGGCTGCCTGGCAGAGATCTTGGGATCAGGCATCTGCTTGGCTTCTCTTGGGAAGTCACAAAAAATGACAGAAGGAACTAGGTTGGAAAAGACCTTTGAGATCATCCAGTCCAACCTAAGACCCAGCACCTCCTCAATTAAACTATGGCACTGAGTGCCACGTCCAATCTTTTTACAGACACATCCAGGGATGGTGACTCCACCCCTCCTTGAGCAGACTATTCCAGTGCCCACTCAGTCTTTCAGTGAAGAATTTTTTCCTGATGTGTAACCTAAACTTCCCCTGCACTTTACCTGGACTATCCTTCTTCTTGGGCTCATCACCAGTATTTGTCTCCCTGGAATCATCATCTGAAGTTGTCTCCTTCTTGGCCTCATCACCAGTATTTGTCTCCCCGGAATCCTCATCTGAAGTTGTCTCCTTCTTGGGGTTATCACCAGGAGCTGTCTCCTTTCCAGATTCCTCATCTGAAGTTGTCTCCTTCTTGGCCTCATCACCAGTATTTGTCTCCCCAGATTCCTCATCTGAAATTGTCTCCTTCTTAGGTCTCTCATCTGCCATTGGCTTCCTCTTGGAAATCTTGGCAGAGTCTCCTGCACCAAGTGACAGCAGGATATATGACAGCCCAATTTTGGCACCAAGACAGAAACCTGCAGCTCCAGGCCAGTGCTGCCCCTCCCTC